TCACCTAAATGTATGTAAATTGTAACTGCAGAATGAATTTCCCACCCCTCAGTTCAATGTGTTTGCTATTCACATCTGTCATCCAAAGTCATACTCTTTATGGTCTAGCAGTTTTTCAGGAAAAAAACCCAACAAAACAAACAAAAATACCTAAAACAACAACAAAAACATGGCTATCACATTTTGTTACATTCAGAAAAAAGTTTAAAAGAATTTGAAAATGTATTAGATTTTACTTTTATTGGAACATATTTATTAAAAAAAATATATACACGCCTTTCTCCCTAAAATAATGAAGCTGGTAGAGAACATTCAAAACAAGATTAAGAAATAATGAAATAAGTTCCAAAATACGCTGGAAGCCTATACAAAAAGAACAAGAATGAAACGTATGCCCTGAAAAAAAAGAAGCACTGAAGAAAACTTCAGCAGACATAACAGGTAGACAAATTACATGTGTGCCACGTAAGACAAGCTGGAGGAAAACAGCGTTCAAAAGAAAGTGACAGCACATTTGATGTTTATGCAAACACATAAATATCTATGTACAGATTTAAAACATATGCAATATTGTCAAGTAACTTGCGGAAGGAGTTATGCTTTCAGAATTCTGCAGTGTGGTGCATTTTGTTCTTAAAAGAAAAAAAGTAAGTCTCATTTACCTGTCTGTGTTTCTAATTTTAAAACTTTCAGTAATCCATCCTCTCCACCACAGGCTATGAAACCTTGATCCGTATTCCAGGAAATACATCTTAATCGAACATTACCGGGAATTGCAATCTGAAAAAGAAATATTTTGTACCTCTACATAGTTCTAAGAATCAGGTTTTATTTTCAAATACTCTATTTGAACACCTCAAAGACACCTGTGATAGCACACAAGATAAACTTATTTCTATCAACAGATCAGTACATGCAAAAAGAGACGGAAGACAATTAGATTTACAAGCACTACTGAAACTGCAACACAACAGTTCAGAAAAGGGAAATCTAACATATGCAGTAAATAACAGGACATCTTCAAAGGTGTGCAGAGAAGGCGCCGTGAGCAACAGGTGAGAGGGCTCCCACTGCGCACAGGGCTTTGCCACGAGCTGGTCTCCAGCTGAAGAGCCACGGGCAAACTCTCCTAGGGGAGCAGCTGCTTAGGAGACGGCTGAAGACCAAAGAACCCCCAAGCCCCAAACCCAGGCCGAGAGGGAGCAGGCAGGACACAGCAGACCAGCGCTCTGGGCAGGAACCAAGCCCACGGCCGCACCGCCAGCGCCAGCAGAGCCGCAGCGGCCGCAGGCAGCGGGAGGGAGCCCCGAGGGACGCTCCGCGCCCTGAGGCCTCCGCGCTCCCAATCCCCGGGGGCTCCCGGGGGGGCGGGAACTCCGCC